TACCAGAAGGAGAAGAGAGAAAGAAGAAAAAATATTTGAAGAATGGAATGCTGAAAGTTAAAGACAAGGAGAAAATCCTGAAAATAGCTAGAGAAAAACAATGTCACTTACAAGGGAGCCCAATAAGATTAACAGTTGACTTCTCATCAGGAACAATGGAAGCCAGAAGGCAGTGAGAAAACATATTCAAAATGCTCAATGAAAAATACTGTCAATGAAGAATCTTATATACAGCAAAGCTATCTTGAAAACATGAAGGTGAAGTAAAGACTTTCCCAGATAAACAGAAACTGAGCGAATTTGTTGCTAGCTAACTCATCTTACAAAAAATACTGAAGCTCTTCAGGTTGAAAGCAAGTGATCCCAGACAGTAATATGAATCCACAAAAACAAAGAAAGGTAATTATTAAAGGTAATTATGTAACTATAAATGCATATTTTTTCTCCTTTCTTAACTAAAAGCAATTTCACAAAATATGTATATAATGTATTGTTGAGCCTGTAACATATAGAAATATATGTGCAATATTTTTGCCAACAGCAGCACAAAAGAGGTGAATGTGAGCAATGCTGTAATGTGCTAGGGAAATGACTACAGATGGTAAAGTAATTATAACAATGCATTGTTGGGTTTGTGATATTAACATATGTAATATGTAGGCACTGCCCAGAAAATGTTAGACTTGGTACTCAATGAGAGTAGGTTTCAGATATTATGCAATTTGTTACACTCCCTGCCCAAACCTCCCCCTCACACAAAACAAAAAAATCACCCAAATATAATAAATATAAGGAATCCTCCTCTTCTGTCTACTTTTATTTGCTTCTCTGACAGCCAGGCTAAAAACATATTTGAGTTACTTCTCCTTGGTCTATCCTGGGATCCTGACTTCAGAAGCCCAGTGTTAAAAAGAGCCAGTTACTGACAGTGAAAATAAAAACTAGACTTTTTTCTTCTTTTTTAATCATAAAAAATAACAGCAACATAAAAGATACTTTTCTAAGAAAAGGAAAAAACTCACCCATAATCCTATTACCTCAACATAATCATTTTTCATTTTATTTATTCTCTTCTAGTTTAGCAAGTTTAATTATCATTCTTGATGGCATCACATGGTATTCAGAGATATATAAGCTATTTTCTTATATCTCTCTCCCACCTCCCCATTCTATTTTCTAGTGGTGGACTCAGAAGGTTTGGAACCCAGACTTTCAGATTCAAAAGAGCTAGGGGAAAAAAAAAGCTAAATCTCGAACTTTGGTGAAGTAATATACATGGTCTCTGACTTTACCAAAGTTTTAAACCTGAATTTATTTACACAATTGGAAATTCAGTGTTTAAATACAAACGTAAGTTTCAGCTAAGATTTATAAGTTTCAGCTAAGATTTACAATGTAAAATGCTAATTAGAAGTTTGGATTTACAGTCTATGAATCCACCACACTTTGCAGGTAATTTGGAAAAGAGCAGTATATTTTAAATTTTTGATGTCCCTATATCCATAAACCTACACACTACCCTTCTTACCTCCCCAATTCAATATACTGCCGTAAGCAGTAATTTTGGGGAAAAAAATTCAACTCTGGATTAATCATGTAGTATAATAGCTTAAATTTACATTTTATCAGCAGATACAAAACATCACAAATTGTTTAAAAACAGCATTCACTCCTATTTTTCAATATAAGGATTTCATTTCTTGAAGCGTACTATTAAAACTTTTTTTTCTAAAAGTGTTATAATAGTATTATGCAAGCATGTTAATGTTATGCAAGTTCAGTACATGGCCTACAAGAGGAAATAAGGAGAGGGAGTAAAATAATTTCAAGTCCATCTGGCTTCTAATGGAAGAACCAGTTTAACAACTTTCAGCTCACTGACATTTACGAAAACTTGAGCTTTACTTCCTGTTTTTTTTTTTTTTTTTTTAATTCTAATGTCAAGGGGGACATTTCCAGGCTAGAGGTATTTGCTTGCTTCCTTAGTACTTACTCATTCAACCACTCAGTCAGAGGCATAATTCATCAAGATGTAGTAGACAAATGTCTTCTCTCTCCATTCTGCAAATTATAACTCAAGACACAATCACATGCATAGTTCTTTTTTGGTTACCGGACATTTGGAGTGTACATTATTAGGCTGCAACATGCTCTCATGGTATTTGAATATATTGCCAGTTTTAAACCAAAGCAACAAACTAAAAGGCCATCCATCACCAATTAGTTTAACTGCTCTGATACTGTTTTCAATGTAATTGCTGATTATTGGCATGTTATAATTTGTAGTAATATGCTGCTGAAGTAAACACTTGATTGTTTATTCATGTGGCTATAGTACCATCTTCACTAGGTTTTAACATAACCAAATAGCTGTTACTGAGCCTAGTAAAATGGATTAGTGTTAAATACTTTAAACATACAAATCATTAATTTGAGAAATGTGAAAGGTACCAATTTACTATTCAATGAATAACCAGCAAATAAAGATTCTAGCAGCCATTTAAAAAATAAAATTATGATTAACATTGGAGAGCAAATAAGTTTATGTTGTATTATAGTTCAAAAGGATCATTTGTATATTAGTCTAGCCAAATTTGGTGAAGAGAAGATAATGAGATAGTATAACCATTGACAATTAGATTGTAGAGCATGGCAAAGTCACTTCTCTTGTTTGGGTTTGTTTCCTCACCTGTAAAACTAAGGGATTAGGCTATATCATATCTAAAGTTTTTAAGATTTATGAGTTTATCTGGCTTTCTATAATACCTGTTCTTGAAAAATTGTTCTTAAGTTTTTGTCATAGTGTCTAAATGCACCAAGAACATCCTATCACATGACAATTGATGTCTAGTTTACAATTTTAAAAATTCATTTTTTTTTCAAGCTTGCTTAAAATGAGCAACACCTATATACTTATGGAAATCACCAAGGAAAAAACTACTGTGAGATATATTCTTAGGTGGGATATAGAACTGGTAAATTTGAATAAGTTAGAAGTCTGGAAAAGTGCGAAGACAATAAACCAATTTATTAAAGTGCTTATTGTGCTTTTTGTACTTGTAAGATATGCTAGAAGTTATGTACGCTGCAGACCATTTTCCCAGGACTAGCGTTACCGTCCAAATTGCATCTTGTTGGCATGCACCAAACATCAAAATAAGTTATCTGGGGCTACTCTCACCAAGGTTAAAAACTGATACAAGGGGCCAGCCCTGTGGCCTAGTGGTTAAGTTCGGCGTGCGTGCTCCGCTTCAGTGGCCCGGGGTTCAGATCCCAGGCATGGACCTATGCCACTTGTCAGCCACGCTGTGGTGGCAACCCACATACAAAATAGAGGAAGATTGGCACAGATGTTAAATCAACGTGACTCTTCCTCAGCAAAAGAAAAAAAAATTGATGTGAGTCATTTCATAAGAGGGGGGATGTGAGATTTTCATATTACATTAGAAATTGAAGTATTAATCAGTTCCATCTCTTCATTTCTAGTGAGGAAACTGTGGTCCAGAAAAGTGACTTGCAAAGGTCACAGATCTAATTAGTGTCAGTTGATGAGAGCCCAGAGGTGACTCCCAACTCAGTTCTTCTACTTCATTCTGTCTTCTAGATGCAATGCTCTGAGTAAGTAGAAGAAATCTAAACGGAATATAAAATCTTAAAGGGACCTTACACACGGTCCATCTAGTTCAACTTCTCATTAAATGTGGAATTTCTTCTGTAGCACTGTGACAGGTGCCATCCAGCTTCTGCAGCTCTAGTGGCAAGATACTCATTAATCCTTAGGAAGCAATACCTTTCCTTGACGGACAAATAACCGTTAAGTTCTTTCTTACACTGAGCTCTAATCTGCCATTTTGCCACTTTCATTAGTTCTGAGAATCAAAAAGAATCAGTTTTACATGCGTCTCAAATATTTGAAGACAGCTATCATTCCGTAGTCACAAAAACGTTCAGTTAGTCTTGGGTTTCAGTTCATGGGACTCTTTCCAACTTCGTAAAACACCCCAGGATTTGCTCTAATTTGTGAACATCCTTTCACTGCATGCTGAAATGAAATTAATATTGCAGATGTGGTTTGGCCAGCACTTTGCATATTAGATTATTTCCCCCATGATGACTTTTTCAGCACCCTAAGATTACATCAATTTCTAAACAGTTGGCTCGCATGTTATTTCTAGCAAGCTAAAATCTCCAGATTTTTCTCATCTATAAACTCTTGACAAATGCACTTTCATATTTCTATCAATCGCTTTCTGTTGTGGCTAGGATAATGATCAGGGTCCATGATTCCATGTATGATTGTGCCCGTAACTAGCTTGCCAACCTCACTTTTATGCCATCCTGTCCCTTTGACCTCTGGCCAGTCTTCTTACATTTCAAATGCACCATCCTTCCTCTAGGCTTCCACATACTGTTCCCCTCAGCCAGGATGTTTCTCCTGGGCCACCCAGGTCTAGTAATTTCTTAGTCATCCTTCAAAGCTCAGTTCAAATATCACTTCAGGGTGGGACTCTTCCTTGCCCTTCTCCCTGTGTTCCCCTCCCAAGAGTACCTTTTTACCTGTTATAACATCCCACAAATCTCCTTCAGCCCTTGTCTAAACAGCTATACTCATGGAATGAGGTGTTTGTCTCCTCAGCTACACTGTGAAGTCTATGAAGACATGGTCAATGTCTATCTTTATCTGGCATAGGGTTTTGCATGATTTAGACCTTCAATAAATATTTGTTAAATGAATACTGAATTAGTAAGATCAATATTTTGAATTTCCCAGGTAATCAAAGAAAACACTTAGCTAAACTCTGGGGTGCAAGTTGTACAAAGAAGAAACTGCATAGGCTCCAAGACAATAATGAAAAGGAAAAACCTCTCCAAAAGAAAGAAGTGATGATAAAATTTAGAAAACTATAGAACTATGTTCTATAAAGATGAATGGTAATTTTTTTTCAATCTTTATAGGAGGGGGTGGAGAGCATGGAAGAAGGCAAACAAGCACAGCTGAGTGGTATATTTGTTGTTTTACTGTTAATTTGACACATCTGAACCAAAGCATTCACAATACTTGATATACTTTGAAGAGAATCATATACTATAGTCGTAGACATAACCACAGAACAAGCAGAACAATTAAAACTACATAAGGCCTTAAAATATATCCACAGTGTGTATTATTTCAATATTCATTCATTTACAAATTAGACTACATACCGTTAATTTTATTTTTATTTTTCTTTCATTGTTTTATTCAGGCAGGATTCATTCAAGTAAAGGCAACTTAGTTTTTGCGTGAACTTTATTTTTTACTACATTGGTTAATATAAAAGTTATGAATTAAATGTTTTCTCATCTCCTGCATGCAGGAGTGAATCCATGAAATTCTCAGATAGTAATCCAAAACAATGGGTCCTGTTCTTAAAAATAGCCAAAGTGAAAAGGGACAAAATAGCCAGTCTGTTTGTGGTCTTGAAGAACATCTAAACAACTTTCAGATTTTCTTATAATGAAGAGTACTTCAATTCTATGAGATTAGTCAAAATTTAAAACAACATTGCATACAAAATCATTCTCGAAGCTCTAAATGCCTTTTAAATAACCAAAATGAAAATTTTAAGTCGTTGCCTCACAGTACCAAACTTATAAATCAAAACTCGTTAAAATTCAGTGCTATCATGACTTCTCATTTACAAGGTAACTAGTTGGTAAATTAACAGATGGCAAAGAAATTAAAGACTTAATTTTTTTAAAGGAGAAAATGTATGATAATCAGGGAATACAGAAAATTCAATGTATTTTACAATAAAATAACTATTTAAACCTCTATCCCTGTACAACAGGGTTTAGGTCATCTCTTTGAACTTGAGTGTTTTCTTACAATTTATTCTATTATGAGTACTTGAATTGTTTTAGATATACAGCTTTTTATTGAAAGAATATTACATTTGTATACCAGGATAAGATTTAGTACACTGAGATGTTTTAAAAATATTTATAAATTTGTTTCTGATATGCAAAAGCATTTGGCAATACTTTTACAGCATTTGATTTCATAGAATTAAAATTTCATACAGTACTCATTTTGATGTTTAAAAAAAAATTCACAGAAAAAATATAAATTACACAGCCTGACTGCATGATACTGTTATTTCCAGTTTCTAGTTCTGGTAATTAAAACCTTCATTAAGTCTGTTAACAAATCATTACCTGTACATTTATGAAGGCAACTGACATGATTTGCAAACAAAACTTTCAGGTTTTATGTTATTTACCAAAGAGTGCAGTTCAGCAAGAAAAGAAAACCCAGTATGCAAATTTACACAATATTTTACAAATTTACCAGTTCCTGTGACACAAACTGTTTCAACCTTTCAAGGTACTGTCCATAAAGTTCCACATCATTGTGACCTGCCCCTTCAACCCACAGAGGCTCCACAGGTCTTTGGCAACGCTCAAACAGTGCGAGGCCATGTGAAAAGTCAATGACTTCATCTTCAGTCCCATGAATTATTAATACTGGAGAGGTTATCTTAGAGATTTTGTCAATGCTGTAGGGAAAGAGGAGGGGGGAAAAGTCAATAAATTAACTATGAAAAGGAACGTAAAACAAATTTTCTTGTGCTTCATCAGAGAGAGAATTCAAACATCAGAACTGTCTATCTTTGAATCAATCCAGAATGAGTAGATGCATCTTGGATTTCAAATAAGATTCACAAGTCACCTTTACATACTCCGTCCCTTAAGATTATTTGAGGAAGTTAACTTCATGCACTTCTGTTTTGAGGGAATCACTCAATGGTTACTGTCACTCTACTGCAACCTTTCTACACTGTTGATGTTGAGCACAGAGATACTGAGTTGCAAGGAGAGGAGGAAACCAAGGACCATTTCAAGTATGTGCTAACTTCATACCTCTCTGTACTCATTATATTTTCCCCCCTCCTAATCTCCTACTAAAATGGCAGCAAAATATTGTTTTTGTTTTAGAGAATTAACTCACAAAAATAGGGATAATGTAACAAAATATAACAAAATTTTAGAGCTGGAAAACAGACCAATGTGTGAGATAACAGATTATAAGTGTAGGAGAAAACACAATTTTAAGAGGATAGAAGGTAAAGAAAAGAACCGACTCAATTTATTCCACGGAATACCTCAGAAGGCTAGGAACTGACAGAAGGCTAGGGATGAAGGCATGTGACTGGAATCCACAGAATTTGTTCAAAGTCTGTTTAAGAAATAGTTTAGGTCCCCCCCCCCCCCGCCCCAGGTTCTTTCCTCTTCTTTTTGCAGCTGGGCAACTGCCCTCCACCCCAAACTAGAGGCTTTGTGGACTAGGGAGTCACCAGACACATTTTAGGGCAGAGGTATCACAGAGATCAAGTAAACAGATACATACTGGCTGCTATGAACCCATTTTCCCTACTGGGCTCACAGAATGCTGGCAGTCAGGCCTTCATCCTCCAAGGAGGAGTTTTATAAAGAGTATTCTTTTTTTTTTTTTTTTTGAGTCTCTATTCTTTTTTTTTTCCCCCCCAAGGCCCCAGTAGATAGTTGTATGTCATAGTTGCACATCCTTCTAGTTGCTATATGTGGGACTCGGCCTCAGCATGGCCAGAGAAGTGGTGTGTCAGTGCGCGCCCAGGATCCAAACCCGGGCTGCCAGTAGCGGAGTGCACGCACTTAACGGCTAAGCCACGGGGCCTGCCCTAGAAAGAGTATTCTTTGGAGACTGTATCCACCATAAGAGGAAAGATACATAAATACTGACATGGTGGGGTGGGGATCCCCAACTAATTGGCTTTACTACATCACTCTACAGTGAAGCTCACAGTCAACGAGCCTTAATCATCCGCTTCAGACCTGCTCTTTAGTCTTTCACTCTTACATATATATGAGGAGACAACCAAGAATTATCACACATCAGAGAACACTGTAAATATGACAGAGATCAAAATAATCAGAATCAAAAAAAGGCAACTCAGAGGAGACATACACTACCTGGAGAAGAAACCTTACAAACAAATAACAATTCTTTAAGAAAATCCTTAGAGAGAGAGATTACGTATTATAACCATAAATAAAATGAGGACAGAATCTTGAAAAGGAGGAAAATCATCAATGAGAGAATTCAAGGCTGCATTTGGTAAGGAAAAAATGCTTGGGTATATTATTTGTTGTCAAATGTTCAATAGTAGAGGAATTAACAAAATTTTTCCAACAAAAAATAAAACAAATGTACCATCTTTTTACAACGGTTTACTGGTAGTGCTGTCCTCTCTGTTGGTGCAGCAGAAATGAGAGAACAAGCTAGACAGATATACAAGTTGGCAACAGCATTACCCCAAATACATCCCTAGCATTCCCACCATTCAGCTAGACAGAAGCAGTATAATTAATGCACATACCTTCCAACATACCATTATCTAAAACACAAACAACTCCCAAATAAATGTAGAAAGCAAAAACCTCCCCACAGCCTGCTCTGGTGATAAGATAATACGCTTCCATAAGCTCCCCTACGAAAATCACCCCTTCCTGGCTAATGATGAAAAAATTTGTTTTTGAAATGACTCTTGCTGTTTTTATAAAGAACCAAGTGATGACTTGGCCTTTGGGCCCATCTATCATTCACAAAAACCCTTTGTATTGCTGCCAGTTAGGGAAAGAAATGACTGAAATTTGCCAGTTTCTCACTTCTTGCCTTATCCCTTTCTTTGAGAACAACAGGCCGTCAATTTTTTCCAACTATGAAGAGGACCTGGTAGGAACTACCATCCTGTAGCAAGAGTAGTAGCCCTTCTTTCAAATTTGTCTAACATTGTATGTTTGCAGACTTTGTGGCAGCAATACTTATTTTAGATAATTTAACACTCAACTTTTTTGTAATTCACTCCTTTTGTAAATCAGATATCATTAATTAGACATCCTTCACTCATTTTTATGCGCACGTGTCTCATTTTCCCTCTCCTTGTTCCTCTCGTCCAGTATTATGCGTCTCGCTGGATGGAACCATCATCCATTAGCAGCTCAAGTCAGAAACCTGGGAATTATATTCCAGTTCTTTTGTTTAGCATCCTATATCCAGTCTGACACTCAGTTCTGTCAATTTCATTTCTAACATTCATTCTCTTGTCTCCATTACTAGTGTCAATGCCTGAGGTATACGGCCCCCTTCAGCACTTTTCACCTAGATTACTACTGCTCAAACATTTCAGCCTCCTGACAGGTGGCCTGCCTCCACTCTCTTCACAAATTAATTTTTCATAATTTCTATAATATATGTAAAATAGAAACTCATGGCTGAGTGAACTGTATCATGAATACCTTAAGTGATGGAAAAAATTCCCTCAAATATTTCTTTGAATAAACTATTTTGAATATTAATACTTACTTTGGGAATGCATCAAAACAGTAGGTCTTCTTGGTATCAGGAAAAGCAACTCGCATTCCCGAGGTCAAAGGAGAATGAAGGATAACAGCAGCACTCTCATACCGAGCAGCAAGATCCACAGATGGTACTGTCCCTATACTTTGGCCATATATAATCACATTTTCAGGGCGAATGCCATATCTACAAAGTTTAGAAGTTAAAAAAAAAAAAAAAATAGAGTTGGAGAGTTGGACCGGTATGAAACGTTCAATCATTCCTAAGGACTTAATCTTATCACAGAATGACTTAGAATGAGAAAATGTCAACAAACATATTTAAAACAAAAGTTTCTTAGTTATCACTACCATATTTAAAGCAACAATAAGACCTAAATTCTTAGCTTATTTTATCTGTTTCAATTTCACCTTTTGAAAAATAATTGCTGAGGTCTTTTAAAATTTCAATCCAAAGAAATGAATTTATTCAATCACTTATGAAATTCAACGTAGCATATTGTTGACTAAATTTGGAACATATATCACTAATATTTTAATGGATTGATGTTTAATAGATATTGGGTGTTTATTTTCCATTCAATATAACAAAAGTTCTTTATTTCTCTAGATATCAAAAGTGACTCATTTTACTTTCTGAAGTTGGTCATAGAGATGAAAATACTACATATAGTTTCGGTATGGAATGAATAAAATATACGTATGATTTTAGCCAAGAACAAATTACCATTTTTCCTGAAATTTGCCTTTACTCATAAAAATGGATTAATGATTGAAAAGATAAGCAGATAAAGATTCTAAATGCCATATGGTTCAGTCAATTATTAACAGATTTCATGCTAAAATCTCAACAGTATGCTTTACTTGCTTAAAAAATGCTTCGGGGCCTGGCCTGGTGGCAAAGTGGTTAAGTGCGCACGCTCCGCTTGGGCGGCCCAGGGTTCACGGGTTTGGATCCTGGGCACGCATGGACGCACCGCCACGCTGTGGCGGTGTCCCATATAAAGCCGAGGAAGATGGGCACAGATGTTAGCCCAGGGCCAATCTTCCTCAGCAAAAAAGAAGATTGGCATCGGATGTTAGCTCAGGGCTGGTCTTCCTTACCAAAAAGAGGAGGATTGGCATCAGATGTTAGCTCAGGGCTGGTCTTTCTCACCAAAAAAACCCCAGAAAAACAAAAAAAGAAAGCAGGTCTGGCCTGGTGGCGCAGTGGTTAAGTGCCCATGCTCCGCTTCAGTGGCCCGGGGTTCACAGGTTTGGATCCCCAGCGCGCACTAATGCACCACTTGTCAAGCCATGCTGTGGTGGCGTCCCATATAAAAAGTAGAGGAAGATCGGGCACGGATGTTAGCCCAGGGCCAATCTTCCTCAGCAAAAAAGAGGAGGATTAGCATCGGATGTCAGCTCAGGGCTGGTCTTCCTCACCAAAAAAACCCCAGAAAAACAAAAAAAGAAAGTGGGTCTGGCCTGGTGGCGCAGTGGTTAAGTGCGCACGCTCCGCTTCGGTGGCCCGGGGTTCACAGGTCCGGATCCCCGGCGTGCACCAATGCACCACTTGTCAAGCCATGCTGTGGCGGTGTCCCATATAAAAAGTGGAGCAAGATGGGGCACGGATGTTAGCCCAGGGCCAATCTTCCTCAGCAAAAAAGAGGAGGATTGGCATCGGAAGTTAGCTCAGGGCTGGTCTTCCTCACAAAAAAAAAAGCTTCAGATTTAAATATGTGAACTCATTCACTCAGTAATATTGGGTACACACTATGTTCCCAGCACTGTTACTTGTCTACAGGATAATTGTCCCAACTATAAACCACTGCAAGTGTAAATGAGATGCTACAGGAGCTAATGAAGGTGGGGTTAAGGCTTAGAGTGACATCAAATATGCCTTTCCACTTTATTTTTATTTTTTTGGTGAGGAAGATCAGCCCTGAGCTAACATCCATGCCAATCTTCCTCTTTTTGCTGAGGAAGACTGGCCCTGGGCTAACATCTATGCCTATCTTCCTCCACTTTATGTGGGACGCCGCCACAGCACAGCCTGACAAGCGGTGCATCAGTGCGTGCCCGGGATCCGAACCTGGGCCGCCAGCAGCGGAGCGTGAGCACTTAACTGCTATGCCACGGGGCCGGCCCTGCCTTTCCACTTGAGAAGTCTCACAGCAGTCACTTTTGGCTAAAGGCCATTTGCCTACCAGCTTCTAGTCTTTTGAAAGGGTAACAGAGTTTTTCCAAGGATGTGAATATTCACCAGGAAAGAGCAAGACAAACCCCACATGCTCCCTATGGCCCTTTCCAGGGGCACAGGGCTATGTGAATTATCCAGATAGTGACATACCACCCCATAGTTTCTTCCAGTCAGTCCTACACAAGCATTTGGATATGTCCCAGAGTTTGGGTTCCATCTACTCCAGACTGACTCTAAATTTAAGTAAACTCAGAAAAGCTTTTTTCTTTACAACAGACCTAGCCGTACACACTACACAGGAATGAAGAAATTATGAAAATGAACTTTTGCAGCATCAGCATAACTCTTGAGGCTGCACAGCTGCTGTCAGCTGAACAGCAGCACTGTTGGTGGCAGCTATCAGTTTTAGGCTAAAGCTAGCAATGGCAAGCCTCCAGAGTAGCAGAGGCAGCTGCCAATTGAACATAAGGACTCAAAAGCAATAATAGAATTTCAGAAGAGTAGAAGTTAGAAACGACTTTAGAGACCATCAAATCTAGTTCAGCTGCTTACTGAGCAGATGTTCAAAGTCAAAGTAAGTTATTGACAGACCTATAATTAGAACCCAGGTATCCTGACTCCAAGTCCAGTGCTTTTCCCATTACAGCACACAGATAATGAGCTCAAAGACTGTGGGGGAAGGCTGCATAGTGAACATTAGTCTCTTATTTTCTGTTGATCGACCAGAAGTTCAAAAACTGAGGTTATTATAGATATTCAATTATCCTGGAAAGGAGATCATTCAAATAATAATTATCTAAGTTCATTATTTTTCCCTTTCTGGTTATATAAACCCTAACTTTTTACTTTAATCAAGTAAAGAAAATGAAAGGCATGAATTCTAATTGCATACATTTTATTAGATGACAGAATTCTAGAACTGGAAGGGATCTTAGAGATTATTTAACTCATCCTCTTCATTAAACAGACAAGGAAACAGAGGCTCAGAGAAGGTAAATAAATTTCCCAAGACTACCTATACTTACTAACTCTTCCAACCATATTTAGAGTTCATGAGAGAAAACATAAGCCTGAAATTCTACACTAAACTAGTATGTGGGACTATTTAGGAATTGATCTATTCTGACTTTGTTGCTCATTCATACTGGTCATCAAGTAAGTGTGTTTAAAAAGACTAGAAATCATTTTAGAAAGTTTCCTTCAAACTGATAATCTGACAAGATTAAAAAAATAATAATAAAGCTGACCACTTACAAGAGGGGATTTTTTTTACATAAACATAGAACATTGAGCTAGATACTACTGTTTTACTTGAATAAAGTTATCCTTTTGTGTTACTTAGAAGCATTAATCATGAAAGCTATCTGCTTTACTTTAACATCCTTAAAAACTATACCAATCCACTGAAGTTATACTCTAAAAGAATGAATTATGGTATGTGAATTGTATCTCAATGAAAACATTATTAAAAAAACATATTATCATACTTTCCTGACTGTTATTATACCACATTCAACTGGCTGACTCCGAAAAGTAGGCACTCATTTTTGTTTGTTTTTAGGCCTGAGGGGACTGACATCAGTATATCTGAAGCAGATTTTGACTTTGGCCATTTAAGGTAGTTTTCAAGTTTATAAATGTTTACCCATCCCCCCCAACAAGTTCCTTATCTACTACTTATACTACTTACCATCTATTTTTTCTTACTCATCAGATATATGTTTTTATATCATTTCAATTGATTTAAGAATCTCCTCGTATAGAACTTTGCTATGAGACTACAGTTTTATTATATATCTTGGAGGAGTAAATGGTTCTAAAGACATTTTCTAAAAAAGGTTATGCCTACTAATAAAACTGAGGAGGTTCTCCCTAATTAACTGAAACCATTAATATTTAAACATTAAATTAGGAACAGTAAGACTTCTTTAAATAACACAAACTCTGGCATAGGATTTTATCAAAAACTATCCAGACTCTTATACTGTTAATAATAAATCAAGTGAATGATTAGCTAAAATCACTGTTTTCTCTCATCCCCTTGAAATGTTGCAACTTTGAATTATCATTTTTATATCACACTCCAATAAGGTTATAAAACCAAACATTTGTTATTGGCTTAAATTAAAGAAAATCACACACATATATGCACTAACAGACACACAAATGTGACCTGTCTTACAAAACTTTTTCACGCTATTATACAAAATTTAAGATTACAATTTAAAAATTTAACTCTTCATAGGTATATATTGGTAAATATAATCTCTACTTAGTACTTCAAGACGTGTTGTAAAAACAGCTTTTATTCTATTCTTATACAAGACAATTTTAGTTAACCATCGCTAGTGTGGAAAATCCCCAATCACCATTTACCTTGTCCTAAGAGCAAGCCAAGCAGCTTCTATGTCTGCGTAGAGGTTCTTCTCCGTTGGTTTCCCAGAACTTGCACCATATCCAGAATAATCATATGAGAATATATTACAATTAATCCGTGATCCCAGTCCTATGTAAAAGCTGCTCATCTGACCAAGATCAACAGCATTTCCATGTGAGAAGAGTAAGGTGTATTTGGCATTGGGTGAGCAACGCACAAACATGCAGGCAATTCTGTTGCCTTTACTGGTTCTAGTCATGAAACACTCAATAGCATCTTTTTCTCTAGAAGAGTACTGCCAGTCTGCTCGTTCTGATAGGTGTAAAGTCCAGCGGCTTCCACTTTCATCACACATCAGCGTGTAAGTTGGATCAGGTGGCAAAAAAGCTAATTTTGAAGCAATTTTCCCTGGACAAGGTGGACAGCAGAAGAGGCAACATAGCTCACTAAATGAAAGATTATTCATCTTCTGAAAAAGAAAAGGAGACAGCAAATGTTTTAATCACTGAATGTGGATTCTGCATTCTCATACAACGCAAGGTTAAAACAAAGACACCATTAAATTCTACTGGCGGTCAGTGTCTACAACTATTACCTTCAAGTATCTTGCCCCAAACAGATTTTTGGCATCTTTCTAGAAAAACTTTAAATCCTGAGGTGAGGCAAATATTCCTGACCAGGAGACAGACTCAAATACTATACGACATGTTTCAAATAGTAGTAATTGTATCTTATAATATTTAACCAAACTATGAAAACTAATCCAAAGAATGAAGGTAAGATTTGTTATTTCTCAACAAACAACAACATAGGCGGTATGAAATATCTTTAGTGTCGTTTTTAATTTCTATGTAACTCAGTGAGAAGTCTCAGAATCTCATGGAGAAGCTACAGATTTAACATGATACAGTAAATTTATAATAATTGCATTTATGAAGCACTTACGATTTGTCAGGCATTGTGCTAAGTGTTCTCTGTGTATTTCCATTTTTAATCCTCAAAATAACCCTGAATGTTGCTCTGGGAAAAGAAACTTGCACAAGGTGAGGCAGCAGTAGAAGCAGGACTTGACACCATGCTCAATCACTGTCCTCCATCACTGGGCTACACTGCCTCAAGGGCTCAGAAGACTATTTGTGTCAGAAGCCTATCACTTCATCCATAGTGCCAGTGGCCCAAATAACCTATAAAACATTAAAATGTATCTATATATGTAATTATTGCACAAACTAAAAAGGCTACAATATGAAGTCCATTATGGAAAAAAGGTAGTATCCGCTAAAGGTAAAATTTCCCAAACGGTTAGATGGGAAGGAGCATAAGGTTTGAAGTCAGAGAGAGCTGAGGTGGAATCCCAGCTCTACCACTTACTAGCTGTGTGCCCTTGCGCAAATTATTTACCTTTTTGACCCTCACTGTCTTCATAAGTAAACGAGGCCAATGCCTACACTGAACCCAGTGGTTGTGAAGAACAAATACAATTTATATAGTTAAGGTACATAATACAGTAATGGTCATATAGTTGGCACATTCAGGAATGATCCACTTTCTCTTCTTTTTTTTCATTAATATTTTTAAAGTATCCAGCTCATATTAACTCAGGAACAAAAATAAAGTAATACTTGTTTGCCCTACCGGCATTTCCTTCTATCTTTTCCTTTCTCAAATTCCTATCTCTTTTTAGCAGTAGGCCATTATTGCTTAGTTCCAGGAAGAAGGCATTCACAACAAACACCTTCTAGAGGTTTGGTGGCACCTAATTTTCTCCAAAAAATCTAAATACAAGGATAGGAAAAAATGTACATCATTATACCAAAAATGAGAGGAAATCACTCCAAAGAGTGACTACAGAGGTGAGAATATGTGGCAAGAAAGGAACGCCTTTTCCTCACTACTGAATCAAAATCTAGTCTATACTGCTGAATACAAATGTGTTAATTTCCCAGTGTAAACTAGTTAGATAGAGAAACAAGGGTGGGAGTGACATAAAAGGCTTTAAAAGATGAGTAAAGAAAGGGCAGAAAAGTGTCTCTTGGATATTGGGAAACATCTTTACTTGTTATTCCACCTTTATTCTTTTTCAGCCTTCAAAACAAATATATAGCCTGAATAAGTTAATGTCTCAGTCTGGTTGGAACAAGAGTTACATAGAACAGAAATGACAACCAGGTATCATCTCTAGTGCTAACTCTAATCAGCTCCCCTAAATGTTGTGCTGAGAAGGATTCTGAGGACATGCCCAAGGTTTGGCAGGCAAAGAATGTGTGATAAATTAGAGATGTATACTACAGAATTTGGCTATAAATTTATTATCCTGCTCAGGAGGATAAAGGACCTGGTGAAGATGGCAAGGAAGGGAGTTCTCAAAGGGTCAGTTCCAGAGAATGAGATGATCTAGAAAAAGAAGATGAGGTAGAAGGTACAACATATCCATGCTGTCTGTTTAATCATCTGCCTACGTTTATTTCTTGGCCCCAATTACCTTACACGCCATCAAATGCTGACCCACAACAGCCTATTAAAAGCCTGATTAATAAGTAAACTGTACATAGCTAGACTACGTTCCTATAATTTACCTCTTGAACACGAAAACTTTTATATACTATAACAAAGTAATTTTGAAATAAACCTGGCTGACTGAACATATTTAATGCTGCAGAGATGCTTCCGGGGATGAACACTGAAGGAGAGAAGCAGATAGGAGAAAAGGTGCAGTGCCAGGGCCTAGTCTAACGAAAAGACAACCTGATTTTCTTAATGGTGGCAGAAGAAATTATTCCCACCTCCACTGCCTCAAACCCAAATAACTGGTGTCGATTTAATAACAAAAACTTGTAAATTATTGCTTTCCTAATAACAGGCCTTCTATAGGGCAGCAACACAGATGTTTAAAAAAAAACCTATTTTCTCCTTTTCTGTAAGTGTGAAAAACTTCACAATAAAAAGCATAAATGAAGCAGATAAACCTAAGTTTTAGTATGATTAGAGTTGAGCAAGTTACTGAGAGAAAACATTTTATTCTTGATAAAAATTTTAAAAATCATTGAAATACTTTGTTAAATTTAAGATAAGTTTTATATAAAACAAATTGGACTTAAAATTATCTGAATAAAAATACATCATTTACTAGCTATTTCTTGGCAACAAAATTTGAAAAGACAAGGCAGTGAATAATTGTAGGGAGAAAATGAGAGACATCTAAGAGCACCCAAAAACCATAAAAGATGGACAACAAATTGAATAATTTATACCAGAATTTTCGGACTAGACAAAAAAAGGATTTAAAATAAGTTACAATAAACTTGTAAAAAAAAAAAAAAAGAAAGAAAGAGAGAATACAAATGAAACAGAAAAAAAGTGTCAAAGTTAAGGATGATAGAAATAGAAATACAATATCAATACTATAGGAGTCCCAGGAAAAAAATAGAGGAGAAAATAAAGATAAGACAATCTAAGAATTTCTCAGAATTATAGAAACAAAGAAAACTCAGATTGAAATAGCTCAGAGTGCCAAACAGGTATTTAAGAAAACTCTCATAGCTAGACAAATTACAGTAAATTTTAAGACTGCCAGAAATAAAAATCTGAAAATTTCCAAAAATGAAGGACAAATTACTTGCAAAAGAACAAAAATCAGATGAACATATGACTTCTCAATAGCAACACTAGAAACCAGAAGACATTGGAGGGATAGTTTTTAAGTAATGAAAAAATAAACTTTGAACCTAGAATTTTACAGAGACAAAATACCATTTTAATATGAGGATAAAATAAAGATACTGCAGGTGTACAAGAACTCAGAAGGATTAGCAAACCAACACCCTCTTGGAAAAACTCCAGAAAGGAAGAAAATAAATCCAAGAGAATTCTATATCTGAGATATGACAAATAAAGGAGAATAGTTAATATAATGTATTTTTTTGTAAGTAAGCAATAGAGTTAAAAAAAGCCAGCAAAGTATATCTCTAACAATTCAGAATCAAAAAACTTTGGAGAATACCAACATAGAAAAGATTGGAAGAAGAGTTAGGGAGTATTTAAGAAGTGAAAATGTGCTGGGACGCTGGTCACTTGACTTGTTCACAGTGATATTAACATTGATAAGCTTAACACATGGAAGAAAAACATGAAGATAAGTATATTTCTTAATAAGTCAGATATAACCACGATAGAAATTATAGCTTGTAGGATACACCTGAAGTAGTTATAGTTATTTATTACAAATGTCTAGCTTTGAATATTATTGTGTTATACCCAGGAAGGAGCACAAACACAAATAAATAAGAAAAAAGAAATTAAGGGCAGAGATCAACAAAACAGAGAACAAAAAGCAAGAGAGAAATTAACACACCCAAAAGCTGATTCTTAGAAAAGGCTTCCACGACTACTACCAGCAACTAGCATTAACTGAGCACTTACTAAGTGTCGGGCACTGTTCTAAACACTTTTCATATATTAACTCATTTAATCCCTTCAACAACACTCTGACATAGGAATTATCATTACACCCATTTTACAATTGAGGAAACAGAGGCACAGAGTAGTTATGTCACCTGTCAAAGGTCACAAAGCTGGTAAGTGGTGGAACTGGGAAGTGGCAGAATGACTCTGGGGCCTCAAGTCATAACCACTGTTTTGCGGAAAGAGTACTCAGACAAGACTGATCAAAAGAAAGAGATAAGCAAAAAACAAAATACTAAATGAAAAAGACAACCCTACATAGTTTTTTTAATTTTTATTATATTATTTTTTATTTTTTTAAAGATACTTCTTTTTTTATTGAGCTCATAATAGTTTATAACATTGTGAAATTTCAGTTGTACATTATTATTTGTCAGTTACCATATAAATGTGCCCCTTCACCCCTTGTGCCCATCCCCCAACCCCCTTCCCCTCTGGTAACCACTAACTGTTCTCTTTGTCCGTGTGTTAATCTTCCACATATGAGTGAAATCATACGGTGTTTGTCTTTCTCTGTCTGGCTTATTTTGCTTAGCATAATACCCAAGGTCCATCCATGTCAGATATAGTTTTTAAAAATAAAAAAAAGCACCGGGCCCAGCCCAGTGGCATAGTGGTTAAGTTCACATGCTCTGTTTCAGCACCCTGGGGTTCACAGGTTCAGATCCTGCGCGTGGACTGACACACCACTCATTAAGCCGTACTGTGGCAGTGTCCCACATACAAAGTAGGGGAGGATGGACATGGATGTTAGCTCAGAGCCAATCTTCCTCAGCAAAAAAAAAAAAAAAAAAAAAAGAGGAAGATTGGCAGCAGATGTTAGCTCAGGGCCAAGCCTTCTCAAAAAAAAGTGTCAGTAAATTAAATAACTTGGATGAAATACATGAATTTCTTGAGTAATAATATAAAAGGACAACAATAACAAAACAATTAAAAAATAGACAAAGGATCTGAATAGATATTTCTCCAAAGAAGATATACAAATGGCCAATAAGCACATAAAAAATGCTCC